ATATGCCTAATGACTATAAACTAGATTGGGTTGTAAGTGCTCCAAGGCGTTGTTGGTCCTTGTGTGTGCCACCCATTAGATTATTACTGTATTATCATGTGATTATTAGGTACATTTGAGGTTTAAATGATCTTTTAAAAATTTAGGATTATTGGAAAAACAAAGGAAACTCTGACGAATTTTCTGTAGAATTGGCAGATTTTAGGCGAACTTCGGGAGAGCATATCTCCCTCCATAGAGGTCCAATAGGGACGTTCCATACGCCATTTTGAAGGTGGAGATGTCCTCTATCTTGTGTCAAAAATTGGGGAAAATATGGGTTGATATTCGGCCTGAAAAAAATGGAGAAACGCGGACTGCTCATGTGCCACTGCATCTGAGGCAGTTCTGGACCTGATTTGGGAAATTAATTCCCGCTTCATTTCTCAGTCAAATTAAGCGTGTGATATATAAAAATGAAGTTTGAGATGTCTAGTTTGTAGGATAAAAATTTGAGAGCAAATGGATGAGTGGATTGAGTGCAGTAATTCGAGTAATGTGAGTGGTTTGGAGCTGTTTTTGGGGTTGGTTGGCTATTTGCTTATCCAACTTCAAACGGCGATAACCGGAGCAATGAGCTCCGAATTGAGCGTATGATAGCTTGTTAAAAAGGGAATTAAGTAAGACAAAGATATAATCTGAGAAAAAGGTTTGGTTGCGAGCGGTGTGGTCGCAGAAAAATTAAGAGTGAAACATGTCTGAATAGGTAAAAACGTAAAGTTTGGAAATTGGCTAAGTGGGTTTATGGGAACCCCTTAGTAACTTATAATAAGTAAAGTAAGTTATAAAAATAGTTTAAATAAGTCTTCCGCAAGAGTTTACGGTTACGGTCACAGCTTTTAATTATTACGCCTTTTTATGTTTTAAATGCTCGCGTAATAATCGGAAAAAGTTTATTCGCATTTTTATAAATGAATTACTGTGATTGTAACTGCGCTTAATATCATAATTAATGTTAACAATACCGGTGTACAACGGGCTGTTACAACAGCATTCAAAGCTTTGTCTTTATCCTCGGGAGTTCGCATATCCCCTGAGACAATGTCGATTATATTCCCACCAAATTTTTGCTGCAGCAGGAACATTTCCACGTTCATTAGAAAACAGCTTTAACTTTACATATGGCGATGTGGCAGCAAATGATATACCGGCGATGAAGGAGAACAACCACGAACGCGAAGGAGAAGAACTATGAGGGAAAACGATTTGGGGGAAGAGCAACCACCGACGAAGTAGAAGAAAGCTCTCAAGACGGAAAGAAGACAGATAGCAAAAAAGAAGAAGCTCTCTGCTGCACGACGACAAATTGGAATCAATTTTAGCGAACAAAGACCTAAAACCAAAAGCAGGACCCAAGACAGGATGAAATTATTCAATCCGAAAATATTGAAACGTGGAACTTACGAATGAGTGATGTAGTGAAGGAGATCATCGGTACCGAAATACTCGATGTTAATATCGAGCAAGTGGCCAGAGCTATAGTCAATTGCACGGCGACACATAATCCCCAAATCGTAGTCGATGTCGTTGAGATCACCAGAATTGTGCATGTCCACGGTGCGCCAAAGGAGAGGATCCTTCAAGATGTTGCGCCACACAGAGCAAACACGCTGAGCGTTAATCAGGATCACGTTTAATATTAGAAAACAATTTTTTTTTTTAAAAGAACAAAACGACGTAGTTTTACTAAGCTGTAGATAAGTTTATCTACAGCAGCTGTAGAAATGTTTCCCCCTATATATATATAATATATATATATATGGGCTTATCATTTCTGCAGCCGCCGTAGATAACACTCTCTACAGCTGACACAGAAAAGTGGGCCCCACGGCGTTTTAAAAAAAAAATCAAACAAGGATCCGGTGCCGTATCCTAGGATCCGCACGCGAATCCTGGCTAGCTGTAGGTACAGCGGCTACAGAAATCATTTTGCCTATATATGTATATATATATATGGGCTCATCATTTCTCAAGTTGTTTCAGATAACTTTTTTATCTTCGGCTACTAAATCATAACCGTACAAAGATGGATCAAGGGTGATAAAGGAAGAGAGAGAAAAAGGAAATCATTGTCATTCAAAGGTGAATTAACTAATATAAAGAAATAAATAAACAAAACGACATTTTTTAGGTAGACGGAGATAAATATATCTCAAGATGCTTGAGAAATATTTCTATATATATATATATATATATATATATATATATATATATATATACATATATATATATATATATTAATTATGAAAGAGAAATAATTATCTCATATTGTATAAGATAATTATCTCATGCAACAGAAATAAAGTAGTGGGGTCTACTATTTTTTCTTTTTTTTTAAAAAAAATGGTGGACCCTACTATCTTGTCTTTGTTACATGAGATAATTATCTCATACAACATGAGATAAATAGATCTCATTATAAAATGTAGGTTGATTGGCTAGCAGTGCTCGGGTTACCTTAACCTGTATGCGCATCATAAGTAAAATTTAGGTCATGAAAGTTATTGACAAAGATGTTTAGAACATTTCATTAGCAAATAATTTGATGTTAGCGAATATCTTCTTGAAAAATGAGAGTCGCATCTAATCCTTATTTGCATCCATCAAAATTATAATCAGCTTGATTTCTTCCTTATTAAAACAGAGGATACAACATTGTATGTATATTGCAAAGTCTACCCTGGAAAGCACTTAGCTATGCATTATATGTTGTGGTTTTTAAATTTTCGGTGTAACAAAATTAAAAAAAAATGCAAAGAAATATTCCTTAACCCCACAGTAAGATGGTGAAAAATAAATGAGTAAAAACAGTCTTAATGAGACAATGCTTAAAGATACTTCGAGAAGGATTTTTATTTAATTTAAATGAAAATTGAACATATAATCTAATATAATCTATTCAAACTCTTCACCACTAGATCAAATCTAATGGCTTACCTCGAGAAGGTTTTTGATTGTAACATTCTTCAAAGGAAAAAGTGTGTGTCATTTTAAAGGATATAAAATTATGTCAATTTTAAGAGAGAGAAAGAGATAGATAAAGGAGGAGAGAGAGTTGACAAAAAAATAAAGGTGTGAGTCTCACTTCTTTATGAGAGTGAAATGATATAAGTTGTATCATTTAAAAGGATAAATATTTTTCCCTTCTTGAAATCACGCAAAATAATTAAGAGAGTGGAGTTTAAAAGATGTGTACATAAGAAGCTTAACCACTTATCTTAGTACGAGGGATCCTATCTCTTATCTCTTTTAACTTACCACTTATCTTAGGATGTTAGTTCCAAAAGCTATTAACTCATAAGTGGAGTCCATATCACAAGTAGTAGAGATATGCAGTGAAAAGGTATTCAGCATTCACCAATAGCATGTGTAATGAATTAAAACATGACTAATTTAAGTTGTGTGGTCACACATCTACTAGTAAGGCTGAAGAGTTTTTCATGGGCTAGAAATGAGACTGATTAGTTTGACATTATTTTATATTTTAGATTTAGAGTTTATCTGGATCCTCTCTGTCTAAATATTGCTTTTAAGTTCAAGCTAAAAAAAAGAATTTAAAAAAAAAAGTTAAAAGTTATTTGGTGATTACATAAAAAATTTAGTTTAAAAATTACTTAAAAGCTCAAACCTCATTTCAAGAAAAACTATTAAGAACTTAAAAAAAAGAAAAAAAAAAAAAAAAAAAAAAAACTCCTCTAAGAAGTTTTTAGATTTTTTTCTTCCTTATAAAAAAAAGCTCTTTTATTATAAGAGTTTTTGTAAAAATCTGTTTGGCCTAGCTTTTGAGAAGAGAAACTTAAAAAAAGAAAAAAAGAATAAGATTTTAGATTTTTACAACAACAAGAGTTGGCATAATTGGTTTGCTTGATTTTAAATTTCAGTTTTCAGTTTTCCAGGTGATATATAATCCCACTTTAAATTCTCAATGAGGTTGAGGTTCCCCTAGCCTTCTCAATGTAAATTTTATCTTTAAGTTATTAAATTCTTTCAAGCTTGTTTCCCATAGTAGCTAACAAAGATATATGCTTTTGTTTTATATCAAGTCCAAAAGAAGGGAACCAGTCAGATGCAGTTATAACTATCCATGCCATGGATGTTCAAGCATAAACAACAAGTAATATGAAAACAAAAACTACTTAATCCATAGTATGACTCTGAATCAAAGTATGTTTGTCAGGAAAATGAGAGAGAGAGAGAGAAGCATGGTCCCCGGGTGTGTTGGGGAGGGGGGGGGGGGCTGAAACCTTAATTTCTTCTTCTAATAAGCGTTTGTCACAAATATTGAAGGAGAAAGCATGCAAGTATAAGGCATTTTACCTAAAATAACAGTGCAATTTGAATTGCAGACCATACAAAATCTACAATCCACACTAAAGAGAAGAAAGAACGGGCATAATAAAGCTCCTTCATTCATTAGAATGTCCTGCACTGTTATGTGAACATGTGACAATTTTTGTAACTTGTCAACCTTTTTCTCCATTTTGAGTATTGAGAATATTTGAATTTCCATTGAGATATATCATTCTTTCCCTTTACAACTTCCATTATAAATCAAGTCACTACCCTTTTCATGCCACCCCAATTCATCAGCAAAAACAGCATTCTAACCTCAAAATCCACTGCCTACAAATATTCCCTTTCAGGATATGCCCAAATGGATCTGCACCAAAAAACAGTTGAGACATTGTAGCCATTATTACTATCTGAATCATACAAGTCCTCAAGCTTCTGCGACCATAACAAGTTCTGAAAATATCTCATTTGTTTCTCTTTCTTGTATTTCAAAAATCAAAGAATGAGGTAGATATGTAAATGATTTTTACAAGTTCTTGATCAGGACAAAAGTTATGCATGAGTAATATTATGCCCCATGGAGAGTATTTTGTATATACATAGAGACTAAAGCAAACATCAAAATGGTACCTTAGTCACTAAAGAACCAGCAATGCAACCTGAAGGAGCTATTGCTTCCCTGCACGAGCATCAACTCCAATTTTGGATTTCCACTCAGAATATTTTAGATCTTGATCAGCAGGAACAAAAATATCAAATGCAGCATCTTTTGCTCCTGCCTTCTTCTTCAGATGATTATCAATGCCTGAATAGTCCAAATCCTCTAAAATACTAGGAACTCGAATACCATCCTTTCCATACATTGTTCCCATTTCCATGTCAAATTTTTGTTTTGAGTTTATAAAACCTTTTTCAAGATCTGAAGTAAAGGATTCATCTTGAACATCATCCTCTTCTGTAACCCATTCTCTAAAATTGATCAAAGGACTTGGGATCTTAGAACAGGAAAGTTCTTTAAAGTTTGTCACTATTCCCCTTGTGTATGGATTTTCCTTCTTATCATAGCGGTACCGGAAATTCTCATAAGTTGTCTATAGAAAGAAAATGTCAAAAAAAGAAAAAAAAAGGTGAGTGTAATACAGATAAACATTCCACTACTAAGGCAAAATACTATTTATAACTAAAGACCAACTTTAAACTTTTCTAACAATGATAACTAGAAATTGCACAAATGCATATAGAAAGAAAGAAAGCCAGAAATATTGCACTTATTATGAATTCCCAACCATAGCTTATAGAAGAAAATAATGTAGAGTGGGAAAAAGAGAGAGAATACCTGGTTGGTGGAAATCAAATAAAGATGGAACACTGTTAGCCCACCAACAAACCAAACGGCTATGAAGCAATATACAATGAGAGCAACAGATAGGATATCATGTGACATCTTGAACCACATTCTACCCTCTTGCCGAAGAAGGTTAATCCAAGAAAATGCAAACACGTATATACATAACAAGGTTGATGATGATATGAACAATATGAAGAATGGATAGTTACGCTGAAAAAACCATGAAGAGGGAGGAACAGTGTTAGATTCTGCTGAAGAAAGGTGGGGAAACATAAACATAAACATAAGTGAACTTTGAAAACAGAGAGGAAAGAAGTAGAGTAGTATGAGTCACTTTCTCATGTTTGTAGTATTTGAAATTTAAACTTAATTTCACTATCCATTGTTTAAATGAGTTCAAATAATCAAACATAATGAAAAAATGTGAAGAAAAATGAGATACATGCAAAAAAATAATAATAACAAGAAAAAGAAAACACACAAATGTTCTTAAATATATATGAATAGTTTGCTTGATAGATTGAAGGTGGTTTGGAAAACTTACTGATCCTATACACTGACCAACCCAGGGGCAATGATGATCAAACTTCTGAACACAGTTATTGCAGATAGAGCAATGGGAAGCACGTGGTGGACGATACAACAAGCAAGTATCACAGAATTTCACCTTCACTGTCTGGCCATTGACTATCACATCCTTCACTCTTGGTAATTTCAGATTTGGTGTTTTACTGTTCACCCATTCCATGGATGGTGTATCAAATAATTCATCTGATTCAGGTGGTTGTGAATTCCTGGGGATAATTCCTGGATCTCTACCAGATGTCATGAAGAGAAAAATAAAATCCTGTATAAAACCATTGAAGTGTCATGTTTAAAATATCATGAGCATGCCAAGTAGTCATTATTGATAAGGAAAACCTTATATTTTTACCAACCAAAATTGTGAGAATCACTCCTCCAATCAGTACAGGATGGCTAGAGAGAGGGTCTTCTTCTGTTATTGCTAATAGCATTCTTATGCAGAATGTTATTGCAGGACCTCCAATCAGGAATGACGTTAAAACAAGAGATGATGCATCGTGACCAAAGACTAATCTTCCACCAAATAGAAATTTCTGACATGAAAAAGAAGCTTTATCAGAATTCAGTTTTACATGATACTTCACTTAGAGTCTAAAAGTCCTCTAACTGGATCATAAATAAACATTTCAAGTTTTCACCCTTCAGAGGTGACTTGTTATCCCAGTTTCAACTTGACTCTTCACTTTTATATTTACAAATTCCATATGTTTGATATCTAAAACTGAAACAGAACAAAAAATCACTGTTCAGCGCATAAACTAAACTTTTCAGCATGCCTTCCACCAGATAAATAATCAGTGTTCAGCACACTTCTACCCACTGTCAAAGCACTTCTAACATTGAAAATGGTTTGAGCATTTCCAAGGAACAAATCTTGCACTTGTCTCTGGATCTCCATCAACTTATCCTCCTAGAACTCCAAATCATACATCCTTACACTAATCCAAATATCCTCTAAAATCCCAGTTTATTTTTATTTTGATCAAGAACAGCAAAATTACAATGAAGGACTGAATTGCTCCGCTTACCTATAAAAACTCAAAAATCTTAAAAACAAGAATAACGGCACAAATATATTTCTATATTCACTCAGGACAAATATCAAATACCATACATTTTCATTTCAAGCATAAAAAATTTCAAATTTTCCCCCTAGAGCATCAAATACCTCCTCACATTATCTTTATGGCATCTAATAAAGGGCAAACCCTAATGTGCAAAGCTCGTCAACTTTCCAAAGCAAGGGGTAAGGGTATTGTAAGCAGTCCTCTTGCATTTTTTCAAAGAAACTATTCTAGGCTTAAACTTGTGACCTGAAAATCACAAAAGAACAAACTTGCCACTGCTTTTAAAACTCACCCTTGATTATGTTATCTAACAACCTCAAAAATATGAAAAAAGATTTATTTTTTTGCCCTCCTTATTGATTTATTCCCTGTAAAACATCTGCACAAGAACCAAACATTACATTCTTGTTTAACCATGTTTGTTACGTGGCATAAGAAGAAAACTAAAACAGTCCAAGTTTTGATTTTGACCAAAGAAAAACAAAAAGTGACACCAACATTGAAAAGGGTCTATAAAAATTGAGAGAAAAAGTTAAAAATAATAATAATAATAAAAAAGTGTACATTGTTTCCTTTCCAAACTTGGTAGAGCCTTCTGGTTTTGACATTGGAAGGTTCCACTGAGACAGCCACGGAAGGGGAGGGAGAGGCCACCACGTTATCATTATTGTGATTATTAAGGTGGTGGCTATTGGTGCTCATAATGATTTTCTTCTATAAACTATGAATTGCTGTAATGATATCCTTTGTTAGCAAAAACCCACGTATGATGTTGTTGTTTTTGTTGTTTGTTGGGTTAAGATTTTTCCCTCACCCTTTTGAGGGCGAGATCAAATTGGCTGTGTTAGGGGAACAAGAAGAAGGGATTTGAATTTTCCCTTCTTACGTTCCTTTCTTTCTTACAATCTCATTTTCTCACCCCTTCTCTCTCTCTCTCTCTCTCCCTCCCTCCATGAAACCAGCACTACTCTAACGATTTTTTCAATCTCCACCGGTTTTTTCGCAAATACAACTATTTTAGAAAAATTTAAAGCTAAAATGCTATGAATTATTGTTTGCAAGACTAAGTGGAAATGACTTGGCATTCATATTCCCTTTTTCTTGTTTATCTGTTACAGTTGGAACATTCAACATCTTTAACTCATGTATACCTTATTGGTCAAAACAAATTTATCCTTTTTTTATTTTATTTTTGGTGAAAGAAATTCATTCTTATTTACAGAATTAGAATATTGTGTTGATGGTAAAATAGTTTTTTGTAATTTTTTTTTAATTAACACATGGCTTCTTCTTATTATTAATCACAAATAAAATATGTTTAATTCCATATTTATCTGCTTAATCAAATATTAAATCTTGTGGGATAAAATTTTGCATATACTATATTGCATGTTTATCTGCTAATTTCGACATTTATTCATGTTGATAATTTAGGCAGAAATATTTGAGAACAATTGTTCCGTTGAGTGGACCAGATGGTAGAGTTTCTCATACACTGCTTATATTTACCGAAACATCACGTTAAAAAGTGTGTATCATTTTAAAAGATGTAAAGTTGTATCATTTTAAGTGAGAGAAAAGGATTGAAGATAAGGGAAGAGAGTGTACAAAAAAATAAAGGTGTGAATCTCACCTCCTTATGAGAGTGAAATGACATAAATTATGTCATTTAAAAAACAAACATTTTTCGGTTATAACTTGTTGTGATTTTGTGACCTTCTCATGGAATGTATTTTTTTTTTACATCAGAGAATCCATTTTCATTTTGACTGATATATAATGATATTAAAAATTTAATAAAATTAGTCGAATGATTGATATTTTCAAATTCCGAGTCTTTGGCCATCTACTACACATCTATGTGTTTTGGATTGGCATATCTAGCCTCACACCTCGCCCAATTCCCTAATTCTCAATCGCTCCATGCATAACCGTTCTTACGTGAAAACCCGCTTAATAATTTAGGGACGCATGTTATGCTAAATAAATTTAAAAATTACAATTTAAATAATAAATTCTTACAATAATGTTATTTTAAGAAAAAATTATGCAATTAATAAAACCCACCCAAATTGATGTGTCAAAATGCACAGGACGCAACTATCACATAACAAGCTCTGGTAAATTACACCTAATTTAATAAGTAACTAGTTGCATGTCATTATGCACAAGAACTTGAAATGTGACATTAAGAGTTGTCATTTATGTAATATAAATGTGCATTTTAAAGTTTTTAGCCCGCATCTTACACTCACTCAATGTCAAAACATGCTTTCAAGTCATGGATATTTCTGTCCTTGGACCTGCTCCATGGTTGCCAAATTTGCGTCCCATTAAATAAATAAGAAAACGGTTTTGTTTTTCTTATATCACATAAGATAAATCTACTTTTCTACCCTCACAATAAATGGTGGGACCCACTTTATTTTAAAAAAAAAAAGAAAAGAGAACAACATAGAACACGGAAATCGAAGTGAGAGTAGGATATAAAATCTCTCTTATGTGACATAAGAGAAATAAAACCCATAAGAAAACGAGATAAAAAAGGGGAAACATATGGTGTAATTACGGAAAACAAAAAGAAGAGGATTACCAAAAAAAAAAAAAAAAAAAAAAGAGAAATAAGTTAGGGTCTGTTTGGATTGTGTTTTAATTTTGATTCTAAAAACAAAAACATAATTATAATTTTTAAAATTTTATTTACAAAACATACTTTCATTATTTTTTATTCTGAAAATCAAATTTTCCATTTTTTTTAAATTAAAAATCTAAACATAAAACAAAATCAACTAAAACGTATTCTCTAAATTCTAAAAAAAAATAACAATTTTTAAAATTTTATTTATAAAACATACCTTATCAAACAAATTTTATTTTTTTTCTAAAAATCAAAAGACTATTTTTAGAAACTGTTTTCAAACAAGACCTTAATTACAGAACAGTGACCAAAGTACCATTGTTTGGCAAATTTTTTATCCAAATGCCACCCGAACAGTACTTTTTACTAGATTGTCACGTGTCAAACCTTAGTAGCGAACTTCATGATGACCAATGATTTCGTGACATGTCTAGGGGTGTTCAAAATGTCCAAAAGAACCAAACCAATCAATAACCAAACTGCTCGACATTTAAAAAATGAGTTTTTTTTAAAACCGGTTTCATAAAAAACTACATTTTATTTTATAAACTAGTTATTAATCAAACCATAAAAATAATTGGTTATCCATAACCAAACCAAGCTGCTTATCTCAAACTTGAGCTCAACACGAAGAATTTCATGGCATTGGAGATTTTAAGCACCTCAGTTTTGTCAAGTTAGGGAAAGTTAGACGTATTTTGTGTCTCTTGTTTTGACGCCATCTAAAACAGACTACATGGATTTCATTCCATACCTCTAATCCAAAAAAAAAATTATATCATCATCATGTGCACAATGTCGAAAGATTGAGAATGAAACTTGTTGCCATTGAATCAGTGGTTATTCTCATCAAGCATTGACGGCAAATGCAAGCATTGACGGCAAATGCAAGTTGTGCATGTACAAAATCCCTTTATCATAGAAAATAGCACAATTCATCAAAACTTGATTTTGAATTTGTTGTAAAACTGATTTTTAACTTGATAAACGGTTTTTAAAACTGATTTTGAATTCAAATCGATTTAAAACCAGTTTTAAATCAAAACCGATTATGAACCATAAATCAGTTTTGGAACCGATTTGAAAAATTAAAAACCGGTTCGGTTTGAAAACCAAACCGTTTAAAATCAATTCGGTTCGATTTTTGTCAAAATCAGTTATAAACCGCTCCATGCACACCCCTACATATGGCCATATCGCATACCAAATTCACCATCACAGGTAGCAAACTTAGTTCAGTCAGCTTTTTCTTGCAAGAGTGTGTCATATATTACAAAATCATTGACACACTTGTGATAAAAAATACTATTCACATGACATTTGGATAAAATATTTGTCAAAAAATAACATTTTGATCGATCTTCCCCTTAATTACCACTTTTCAAAGTTAGAATCTTTCTTTGTTTTGTTCAAAAAAAAACAAAAGAAATCTTTCGTTGTCCCTCCATATGAAATATGTACTCTAGGTTTTTATACGATCAAAAATTGGGTAAAAAATTTTTATCTTGTTAAGTTCTATTCGAAGGAAGGGGACAAATTAAAGCAGTGATAAAACTATTCTTTCATGACCAAAAAGTCATTAATTCAAATTCAGGAAACAGCCTCTTAACAATTATGCAAAGATAAGTCGACGTATAAAAATTACCTCCACTCTACAATCGTTAGTCGGATTTAACGGGAGTAAAGTGGTTTTGGTTGGGTTCCATTCGAGATAAAATATTGTTGAGATAATACCAAACCATACCATATAAAAAGTTTAAGGAGCTGCAATGGGTGATAAAGTTTGGGACGCCAATTTTACTCAAGAAATTGAGTCTGAAACAATAGCTGCAAACGCCGTGGTAAATCATATCCCGCCCGTCTTTCCAAAAAGAATCAATAATAGTAATCATAATAATCCACGAAATAATTGGAATTTCACGGTTCAACTAGAAATTATTTCCAAAACAAAGAGCTATACTTTGATAGTTCAAACTAATTATTTGTAGGCCAAGCAAATGCCAAAAATAGAGTATCAACATAATTCTTGGGAATGATGGGAACAAACTAAACATAAAATTCATACTTACCATATGGACCTAAAAGCCCTATTCAAAATCCTTCCCAAGAGAGTAACATAAAGCTAACAGCAGGAAAAAAGAAACAAATTACACAAAATGTGTCTTACAGTTAACTTATATATCTTACTTCCCTTTGCCAATTCACTAGAACTTCCAAAAAGGAACAGTTGGTCTGCTAACATCTTTAAAAATAGTTCCATCCTTCTGTCTGCCATAGCTAGAGCTGAAAAAACATAAGCAATGCCATTCATTAAGTCACAGAACTATCATTCTTTCAAGCTATGTTCAAACACTGATTTAATGAGTAAGACAATGCAAGGAGACTGATTTCCTTATCAATTCACTTTCATCTTCTTTTTTTCAAAGGAAAACAAAAACCTGTTTATTAACTACAAACTAAAAGTTGCAATTCCAGAATGCAGAATTCCAATTGTCATTTTAAGCTTTTTCAATATATTGTACAAGGTTAAGAATTAAAAAAATAATAAAAAATTAAAAATTAACACTAAAAGGAAAACGATTTGCATTGGTCTAGGCTATGGCGAACTTAAGTCAAAGTAAGTATTTCTACTTTATACTAAAGTAATCCTTTGAAAGTATATTACTAATATAATAAGTCCTTTATTTTAATTCTGTCAGTTTTGCAAGGAAAATATTTTCTATAGCATTTTTTTATTTAAAAAAAAATCAATCAAAAGGTATCAATGAGGACAATAATAAAGGGGGGAAAAGCATTTCAATGATAGTAACAGGTCTTCAGGATGGAAATGCGATATAATTACTTCTATATAAAAATTAACTAACCTATGAAAATAGTCACTAACAGATAAATAAATAAATAAAAGATCACAAAGATAATCTTCCTTATGATACAAATGATTTCCAAAACTAACCATGTATTTTTCACGTAATTACATAAATCCACTAAACACCTGGCCTTAAGTTTCAATATTATAATTGGAACTGCCTTGTAAGTTCAGATATGACAACAACAGTAACAAAACAGGCCTAGAAATTAAAAAATGTACATTACAAACTTCCTAATGTCATAATTTAATACATTACCAACACCAAAGCTAGATAGAGGGGCAGAGAAAGACGAAGAATCATTTAGTACATAAGAAAGTAATTTGAAAAAATAGAAACTAACCTTAAGTATAATATTCAGGGGGCACCGCATCCAAAACTCATCAGACAACTAACAAAAGTAACCCCTGCATTTCGCAGATCCACAGAAGCATTTCTTTTTCTTCTGGCCTACTTTGAGAGGAAGAACTATCCCATAATCATAAGTTAACTCCATCATAGGAGGGATATGTCTAATTGCATAAAAAGCAATGTGGAGATCAGATTCATTCTTATTTTCACGTACGACTGGACGCCATAATACATTTGGAGAGCAGCTGTGATTCATAAACCGAGCAACATTCCCTTCATTTCTTGCTGTTATATAAAGGGGTGATGGGATCTTTGGAGCTTCAGTGTCACCAGGAAAAACTTCCAATTGCTGATAAATGCGAGTAGAATCAAAAATGTAATCATCTTCATTTTCACCACCTAGCTCCTCTACTCTAGCATTATCTATAACTTCCCCTGCATACTCACATATGAAGGTTCCAGCACGAATAGGATCCCATGATCTTAGACCCCACCCTTTATCCTTGGTTCTAAACACCTCCAAACGAAATTTCAAGCCACCTTGCGAAACCCGGTTTCGGCAATTAGGAGGGCACTGACACGAAGGACCACACTCATGAATCACGGATTTTAGGTCCGCAAGTACCCCATTTGCATAATATGGGAGATAACCTCCATTCTTTTGTATGCAAGGACAGTTAAAATTGCCAGGTTGGCATCCACCAATGCAAGAACATCCAGCATTAGATTCCAAAGGAGCTGTTAGCTTCAAATTCTTGAGACCAGGGCAGTAAGTGAAATATGCAGGGCCCTTCTCGTTATCAACATCGTTCACAAGACAAACAGGTAAATTTTCGGCCCCAGAAGTAAGATCAGGCAATATAACCCCCATTCTAGAAGCAGACTTCTCAGTCCATTGTTGAATGGATTTCCATATCATGTATGCTTCAGGCTGCCCAGGCAACCTGACTAATTTATACTTGAATACGTTGAAACCAGATTTTGCTTTGTCCACCCACGAATTCTGAATCTTGTAAAGACCATCGTAGACATATACCTTTCCAGTTGGATGCGCTATATCCTTCAAACCCCTAATTACTCTCACATCATTACCTCGATGCAGGCTCTTTTCCAATGCAAGATTACCCCTTTCAAGCTTTTGATCACTTGCTCCCTTTTCACGGCTAGCCCCGCCTTGGCCACTGTAAATCAGAACATCCCCATCATCCACATTATCTTCATACCCTCCAGATGAGACAATACTGACAGCTAAAGGCTCTTCCTCTTGACTGGCTTTGGAAGTCATGTAATCAATTCCAGCCATAGAAGGAGAATGCAATCCTACTAAGCACAATTCAAATCTGAAAAAGAAAATATCCCCAATCTCAACACCTTGCACAACTCCAAAATGTTTCTTGCTATTAGTGCGAACCCCTTTTCTCAACATAATTGTACCTGCCTTCAAATCAGGCCGTTTTGCTCCAGAATGGGCTTCCTTGGTTGTCTCTTCAATTTGTCCTAGCTTTCTTCGTAGCACTTCATATACCATAAGTGTATATGCAACTGCGTCCCTGCTACCCTCAGGTTGATTTAGTACATCAAACACTACGGGGTTAATTGTTTTGAGAATGTCATTAGCCAAAGCATCCGAATCATCACCACCAGAACCGCCACCCCGCCGTTCCTTTGCCGTCTTCTTGCGCTTTGACCTCCCATCCCCAGTACCATCTCCTGTGTCAATTTCACCCATCTCAACATTCTTCTGTGACTTGCGCCTCGACCTCCTATCCCCAGTTCCATCTTCTGCATCAATTCCACTCATCTCAACATTACTGTAACCATCTTCCTCTGTAAACTGTCCACGATTTCGGGCAGTCCTTCGCGATGAGCCCACATGTCCATTTGTAGCCCCAGTAGGTGTCCTAAATGAATTAATCGGAACTGCAGTAGATATTGGGGCTGCAGGTACACGTTGACCGGCAGGAGTTTGTGCATTTTGTTCAGAAAGCCTCTGGGACTCAGGTGAGATAAAGAAAGGGTAGAAGGGTGCAACCCCAGAGGGGAAAGGACCAGAGGGAGAAACACAAACAAAAGGAGCACCACCTTGTGGAGTTGAAGATGAAGAGGGATTAGATGGTGAAGGAAACACAGGGACAAGAGTTCTCAACGGCTTAACATTTAAAACCCTAGACTTATCAAAGGACCCAGATGCAGGAACAGAATCTTGACCGAAATTGTGTTCCATTGATACAATTTTAATGCAGTACAAACACTCTTCTACTAAAAACTTTCACCCAAGTTTAGAATCCAACAATCTCTCTGTACAAGACCAGCTAACAACTTTTATAGCTGATATGTCCAGAAAAATCAATGGAATGCTAGATAACATAAATTCAGTACAAGGGCTGAAAGATACAGTCAACTCTGGGAAAAACAACACAGTTCCTGTTAACATGCAAACAAATCTTGAGTCAGATAGCTAAATAAACAACCAAAAAATCTAGGCAAGATGTTAAAAACAAAAGAAGATAAAATCAATAAAAAAATTGGGTTGAACGAAATTAACCATAAAATTTCATCACAGTCATCCCCACTCGGAAAATAGAGATTAAAATATAAATTTAAAAAGAAAAAAGCATAGACTACAGAAAAACAAATTTAACAACAATCCTGAGGGAAAACGGAAGAGAAAATGAAAAAGAGATACAAAAATGTCAACTTTATATCTTAAATCTGAGGAGAAACGAAGATGACTCCTCAGATCAGATCAGAGGGTTAAAAAAAGGGGGAAAGAAAATCAAATCATGAGTGAACTCCGAGATTGGCCTATAAAGTTTGAAACTTTGAGATGCAAAGATGAAAAATTGAAGCAAACCTGAGATGGGTTTTGTGAGCTTCAGTTTGAGTCGAAGACCGTGAAACTTCACGAAAGCATAAACTGTAATTTTGGACAGAGAGAAAGTGAGAGAACAAAAAGAGGGTTTTCTCTGTCTCGGATTTTTTTAATATTGACCCATCCCCATGATTTATAGGGTGCACCTTTACCAAAAAAGGAAATAAAATTTCCATTTAAACCCTAATCTTACCATTGGGTCCCGGCCCACAATAAACATGCTCCTCTGTCTCTCTATCTTTACGGTTCTAGAAATTATCAAAATAATCCGACGGTAGCGAGCACGTTGAAATGCTGTTTGCGGATCACAATGTTGACGTGGCGAAATGTGATTTGATAAGACAAATGAAAGTAAGATATCAAAACGTGGTATTGTAGTGAAGCTCCGAAGAATGTGACCCCTTGGGTGAAGCGAAAAGCGAAAAGAGAATTGAACAGAAGCATCGGCAAAAAAAAAAAAAAAAAAATCATTTAAATTAAATAATTACACTGTTATTTTGTAAAAAATTATATATTTACTGTACAATGTGACGTCACTTTTGGTGTTACATGTGTGCTCTATATATTTCTCCACCCCCTCCATTCAATTCACACATCTTCTCTCACTCTTCATATCTCTCTTCTCCACCAACATTCATTTATCTTTAATTTAGTATTTAAATTTTATTTCTTATTCTATTTAAAAATGAGCTCAAATCCTGATTATGTTCGTGTTGTGTTATATTACAATGGTAGGAAGGTAGAAGGTCGACGAGGTGTCATCTTCGAAGGTGAAAAAAGACCGACACGTATCCAACGCAACACAACCATTGGCGAACTGCATCAGAGAATTCGGCAGAAGTTAAGTCTTCAAGACAACCAATGTATCACTGAGATCCCGACAAGGGTGTGGCAAGGTGATAAATACATTAATTTGAAAGTGCTTGACGATGAAGACTTGGAGATGACAATGGAAGAATTTTGCAACCAGTCAAGGACAGATTTTCTAGAGTTGTATGTCGACATCGCCGCAACCGAGAATGCTCCCTTACCGGTGAGGTCAGTTTATTTAAATTCTCCCCGTCTTCCAGCTTCTCCTGCCGCTCATGCGTCTCCAGTTGGTAACTTTTCTGAGGGAGATGAAAATGATCCGACTCGGAAAATGCACGACGAAGATGACGATGACGACGATGAAAATATAGCAGTGGAAGAACATCTTCTGGCGGAGGATGCTAGTGTTTCAGAAGGAGATGAATGTTGTTGTTGTCCGCGGTAATGATGCCTTGTAGTGTCATCATGACCTTCGACCGCTTAAGAACGGTGGATTAGATGTCTAATCAATCAAGAGCATTAAATGCAGCAGTGATTACGTGGGGGTTTAAGGAGAGTCGTGGGCGTTTTACGAGTAAAACGCTTCCCCTTCCCGCCACGTGTCCCATTAACCGGTGTTTTGTGTTTAACACGTTTCACGGCTTTTGGAGTATCCGTTGGAGAAAAACTCTTCGTGTTTGTGCCTTTTCTTTTGGAGGGAAGATCATTTGGTCACTTGTAGTGGAAAGCTTGCTTCGTCTCTCAGAGCTCTATTCTGCATTTTAGGTGGTGACACGTCCTGCTTTCTGCTGCGAAGTTCGAAAGTATAAATCTCAGGTGCGTGTTTGCTTCTTATCCTCTGTTTTTTCTACATTTCTGTGATTTAGTTCAACATTTTGTGACTGCATTCCTGGGGTATGCCGGAGAAGTATAACTATGCGGATTTTATCAGATTTCTTGACCGGTCTGGTTCGTCTAGTCCGCCGTCGGGACTGTTACCAAGATCAAAGTCCTTGGGAACCAGGGAGACAAGGCCTACTATAGGAATTCTAGCTCCCTATTCCAAAGCCTGTTCTAGGCATGTTCCCTTAAGTCGGACCCTTGAGTTAGGGTCAACCTCGCGACAACCTCCTTGCGAGAAGACATTGTCAGCCCATAGTTCGTATGTGTTTCCCCGATTTCCTGGAAATATGTCCAAGCCCATTGTGTTATCGAGTGATTCTTCTTCCAATTCGGATAATAGCTATAAATCGGCAGAGTCAAAAAGCCCCAAATCTCCTTCTTCGAGTTCATCGCGCGATTCTTCTTGCTCCATCGCGCATGAGTCTTCAAGACCGAAGAGTCCTAGTCCTTTGCCGTTGAATGTGATTTATCCAGCTGGATATCCTTTTAAGAAAAGGAAATTTGATAATTATAAACCTGTTTCCACTGATTTGTCTTCTTCCACTGATTCCTCTTCTTCTGAATCAGATTTTGTGTCCTCTCGTATCAAGGAGATAATGGCAAAACGTAATGCCCGTGATAAGAAGATCGTCTCAACGCAGTCTGATGGGAAGAAGAAAGTCGTACAAATTAATCATGAGGAAGAACCTTCAGAGACGCAGTCCCTGAACAGGCAAAGCATCCGGGATGTTGATACCCTGGGGTGGGTGTCCGACTCAGTTTTGAAGATTGAGTCGATATATTGTTCTCCTGGAGAGTTGGCGGAGGTAATCGCGGCCCTGCATCTGACCCCAGATAAAGCTTTTGACGACCAATGGGAGGTTGGAGTCGTCCCAAAGAATGAGCGCGTTTTCTCATCGCGGGCCGAGGGGTCAACCAGGCATTATATGATGATGTACTTTTATTTTTTCTTGTCCATAAGTGTCCATCTTCCGTTTTCTTCTTTTGTTTGTAAACTGTTAGCGCATTTGAATGTGGAGCCCTCGGAGCTGACCCCCAATGCTTGGGGTTTTATTAGAATATATGAGATGGTATGCAAGGCCTATGGCCTTTTCCAGTCAGTTCCGTCCTTTTTGTATATGTTCAGTGTGATGCCCCCTCGCAATAGTTGGATATCTTTTAGGGGTAAACAAAAATTCTGCGGGTCATACTGCAGGAAGATTAACAAATGGAACGCTAAGTATTTCAAGATCTATCCCGCCAAAGGTACTACGCCGTTTTTCCTAGGCAAGGATCAGGCTCCTATCTTCCCTTTGTACTGGTCGGAATACCCGTCAGAGAGTTCCGTGTTAAGCTATAACTTTACGGATCTGAGTGATCTAGAACAGCAGACAGTGACCGCTTTAGGTAAGATCACTCGTGAAGCTGCCGGTGAAGGCTCTCTGGATACGTATACCATTTTGAACGAGTATACTGAAACTGATGTTCGAGCTTATCTGGGTAATTTGAATCCTTCGTGTTCTGATATGTCTTAATCTTTATGTAGCGTAACCTGTATGTATTGACTAAGTATGCCTGACCATCCATTTCTTTGTTTCTATTGTGCGGAAAGTATAACGATGGCGCCCGTGAGCAAAATGAAGCAAATCGCTGCCAATCGCGCAGCTCTTGCTAGCCCCTCATCCTCCGCACAACCGATCAAGACTACGGCTGCTGTTGCTGAGTCAAGTGGTCAAGCCGCTGTGCAGTTGAAGTCTCCCTTAAGACTGTGTACCCCTCTTTCCCCTCCTCGAGAAGTTACCCCTCCAGTAGTAGTGGGAGAGGACATTGTGAGAGGGAAGAAAAGAACCTTTGACGCGATGTCCGAGGGGTCAGCTGCAGGGTGGCCGGATTTCGACTGGAGAGTCGTGAGTGACTTGCGGGCTCAGGGTAGGGATTTTGGCTTGTACTTAGAAGCTATGCCACGGGATCAATGGCGGCAGCTTGCCCAGGGTCTGATCACGGCTGGCCAATTTATCATGACCGCACCTGGTAAGTATATTTGGTTTTCCATGTTACTTGCTTGCTTGCATACTATAATATCGCGGTTGTATGTATAACCTTTTTGTGTTTTGTGTATATGACAGATTCAGTAGATTTCCTGAAGGAACGTATTGAGGAGTTGAAGGCTGAGAATGCCCAGCAGCGCGCTGCTTCTGATGCCAAGTTGAAGACATATGAGGACAAGGTTGCCATGTTGACGGCAGAAATGGAGAAGAAGGATGCTGACATGAAGAAGCTGACGACTGCCAACCGAAGCTTGGGGGCGAAGAAAATTGTTCTGGAGAAGCGCATACTAGAGCTTGAAGGGAACGCTGATACCTGGGCTGATGAGAAGGCCCACTTGACCGCTGAGGTGAAGAGGTATCGGGGTTTGTTCGAGAAGGAAGCAGAAGCTACCTTTGGGAACGTGATCGAACAAGTGTGTTTCTTCAACCCCTCAGCCAAACTGGAGAATGTCCACTTCTACCATTACTTCAAGGATGGCCAATTGGTGACCCTAAATGAGCAAAATCAAGAGGTCCCAGTGGAGCTGATTAGCGCGATGGATACAGACACGACCGCGCCATCCTTGCAAGTGCCATTGCCTCAAGATCCTCCAGCTGTTAATGATGAGCGCGTTGTTGAAGCTGACACTCCTCAGGATATGTCGATTCAGACCGTCTAAATTTGCTGCTGATCTTCTGATATCTTTCTTTTAAATTTATTCTTTTTACTTCTTGACTTGCTTTAATATTTGCAAATTTGTAAGGGGGATGTCCCTATAACAGTGATGCGCGGAAGTAGTACTGATCCCGCAAATTTTGAAGTTTATAACATTCGGATTTGTTTTGTCGAATATATGTATGTTGCTGAATGAATGCTTGCATTGTTATCTCACTGTAGACTGTTGATAATTGTGTGAAAGTTACATTCCTTGTAATAGGGTATTACCCTTCTCATCCTTCTTCATATTGCTCTTCACATTCTTTGTATGCTGGGTGATAGTTATAACGCGGATGGGTTTGTAACCCAGCTGAGGTTTTTTGTATGTCGTCGCGATCATATGCATGTCGTGCTTCATTATAAAGGACTCCTTTAAGTATAGAATCCTGTAAAGTGAATGAGATCGCGCTATGGTGTGTACTCCGTATGGCGCTTAAACACCATATCCGCATAGCGTCGCAATTGTATGCTTTGTATTTTGGGGATGTGGTGTGTACACCGTATGGCGCTTGAACACTATACCTGCATGTTGTATGTCTAGACAGTTTATAGGTGAAATTTGTAAAATATTTTGCATACCTTTGTTCATTTGTGCCATCGCGTTTGAGCGTGAAAGATCACGATATATCCTTGGGGATCGCGATCTGTATGCTTTTGCTCTGTTGGGGAGATCCTTGTTGA